TGTGTGTGGGCCCAGATGATATGTGTGACCAAAGGAATGATGTCACGTTTTTTAATAGAAAAAAACAATTTTCAATGAAATTATCCTGTTTTGTGTTTTGCCGAATGAAACTTGTCCGCATAACATTTTCATAGCCTCAAAACATAAATAGTGGGGCACTTACAGTATTAGTAAAACATTCTGCAGTCAATTCAAAACATAAAGCTTTCAAGTCAAATGGGGAATTGGAGAATTGGCAAATCATTTGTTTTGTCTGCACTTGGTCATGACATTTGGGAAAGTGATGTCAAGAGTTGGTGAACAGATATGGCAGAGAGGAACTCTACGCAGAGATTTGTTTTAACAGTGCCTTTATTATGGGGAAATAACAGTTCATAGACATGAGCCAAAGGACTGTACATATTTAGTGGGATGAGTAATATCCTGCATATGGAATGAGTAACATCCTGTAAAGGCATACATGTCCTATACAAATTGGACTAGCATCCCATGTGGTATAATATTGGAAAATTAGTATGCTAAAACAAAAGGCCATATCTAAATATGTCAATGTTACATCATCATGATTGAACTAAATCATTTTATTTTTAATTTTTAAACGTTGCCTATGATTTTTTTCTCACAGTAACAAAAGTTTCTAATGCTGTAATGAAGAATATTAAAATTATTTGCTTTTTAATTTTATTTCATTCAATGCAATTATTTTGCATGTTTTTAGTACCTTTATTTTGTTGAATTTTTCAGCTTTGGGCTTCATGTTTTTGCCCAGTCCTGTCACTCCACTAGTGGAAGGCAGGTCTGTTAGTCTGAGCATATGCTTGCACAGACAAATTAGGATGGATTTAAATGAATCAAAGTATCTTTAGGTGTAATCTATTTGTATTCAAAATTTCCAGTTATCTTTGTGCTGTTTCAATCAAATCTGTCCACATGGATACTGATATTACAGCCATTAATGAGTCTAAAATGCTGCCAGTATACGGTTGCTCATATTACTGTGTCCTTTTCTAGTTCAAGACTGTCTCCCCACCCTGGGAATATATTCTGCTTTAGTAATGAAAAGTACATAAGTAATCATTGATGACTGTGCCTGCATGCTTAAGGCTTTGGGATTCACCACTTGAATCTTTCAACCTCTGTATACATGATATTCCTTGAACCAGGCTTCTGCTTTTCCCTTCAAATTAGTTCCTCCTTTTGGTTTGGCTTATGAAGTGCTTCAGGATGGTTTTTAGATCTTGCTGTGTGTGGGTACAGGGACTGCTCTAATATCTGAAGATACACAAAGGGCATTGAACTGTGTGTAACGATCAACAAACAAAATTAAGCAGAATCTGCTCTGTTAGAAAATTCCACCAAAAAATGCTAATGCTGATTTATGATTTAGCTTGGATAAAGTAGTTCTTTTCATTATAAATCAACTGTTGTAAAGCTACTAGAAGACGGTTATGAATTTCAAGAATCTTGAGCAAATAAGATTTAAAACTTCCGCTTACATTCAATTCCTTTCTCGTCAGCATCAAATTTCTGAGGAATGATGCTATATCTTTGATTTACCAGAATGTATGTTTTGGTCAAAATCTGTGGAGAATGGTGGTTTACTAGTCATGAAAATTTGAACTAATGGTTATGCAGTTCGGTTTGGGAAATGAATCATGGCAAGACTGTGGTCTGAGGTTCAAGAAAAAGCTGCAGAGAGGAAAACTGAGTTAACGTTTTGAGTCCAGTGATCACATTAGCTCTATTTTTCTCTCTACAGATTCTGCTGGCTCTGCTGAGTTTCTCTAATACTGCGTTTTTGTTTCAAATTTCCAGTGTCTGCAGTTCTTTGCTTTATTTTTGTGAGCCAATACTGACTGTTTGTAATAACAAGGTGTAGAGCCGAAACATCAGCTTTCCTGCTCCTCTGCTGCCTGGCCTGCTGTGTTCATCCAGTTCTACACCTTGTTATCTCAGATTCCAGCATCGGCAGTTCCTACCATCTCTGACTGTTTGTACATTGTTTGGCCAGCCACTTATGGCTGTTGCTTTGAGAGTTTGCAGTAGCTTCCAAGTATAGTGTTGATTTATACCATTATAATCTAGAAGCAAGTTGAAAGCTGTAATTGTGGTGTGTTTTCAATAATTAAGTAGTATTCTTCTGAAGGCATGTGTGAAATCTGTAGCGCCATCTTGTGACAGTCTTTGTAGGTTATATGGACTAAGGAATTGTTTCCCATATTAGTGCCATAGTTCTAAAAGCTTGTAAAATTCGAAGATTAGTCTTCACACAAGATGCAAATGACAAACTATATTTTAACTTTTCTTTCCATGCAGCAGCATCTTTTCGACTGTGCTGTGTCTTATGATTGCACGTCAGCAAATTATTGAGAAGATTTCTGCTTTCATCGAGGTCATAGAGTTAAACAGAGCAGAAACAGACCCTTTGGTCCAACCAGTCCATGCCGATCATAATCCCAAACTGAAATAGCCCTACCTGCCTATGCTTGGCTTATATCCTGACAAACATTTCTTATTCGTGTACTTATCTAAATAACTTTTAAACATTGTACCTGTACCTGTACCTGTACCTGTATCCACTGCTTCTTTTCAATGTTCATTCCACACACAAACCGCTGTCAGTGTAAGAAACCAAAACAAAGTTGCTGGAAAAGCTCAGCAGGTCTGGCAGCATCTGTGAAGGGAAAAAACAGAGTTAAAGTTTCGGGTCCGGTGAACCTTCCTCAGAACTGTTCTGTTCTGAGGAAGGGTCACTGGACCCGAAACGTTAACTCTTTGTATTTTCCTTCACAGATGCTGTCAGACCTGCTGAGCTTTTCTAGCAACTTTGTTTTTGTTCCTGATTTCCAGCATCTGCAGTTCTTTCGGTTTTTACTAAGTGTAAGAAAATTGTCTTTTTTAAATCTTTCTCCTCTCACCTTAAAAATGTGCCCCCGAGTCTTGAAATCCACCACCCTAGGGAAAAGACACCTACTATTGACCTTATCTATACCCCTCGTGATTTTATAACCACTTATAAGGTCAACCTCCTATCTCCAGTGAAAGAAGTGCTAGCCTGACCAGCCTCTCCTGATAACGCAAATTGTCCATTCCTGGCAATATCCTGGTAAATCTCTTCTGAACCCTCTCCTGCTTAATAATATAATAGGGCAATCAGAACTAGACACAATACTCCAGAAGAGGCCTCACCAACGTCTTATACAATCTGAACATAACATCCCAACTCCTACACTCAAAGGTCTGAGCAATGAAGGCAAGCATATTTAACACCTTTTTTGAAGACCCTATCTATATGTGATGCAAACTTGAAAGAATTTTCTACCTGAACCCCTAGATCTCTCTGTTCTACAACACTACCCAAGGGTTAGTTATATAACTCCTGCCCTAGTTTGTTTCACCAAAATGCGACACCTTACATTTATCCAAATTAAACTCCATCTGCCACTCTTCAGCCAATTGATCAAGATCTGTTTGTAATCTTAGATAATCTTCTTCACTGTCCACTATACCACCAGTCTTGGTGTCATCCGTGAACTTACTAACCATGCCCCCTATATTCTAATCCAAATGGTTGACAAACAAAAGTGGACCCAGTACCGATCCCTGTGGAACACCACTGGTCACAGACTTCCAGTCCAAAAAACAACTATCCATCACCACTCTGTGTCCTGGTGTTAAGCCAATTTTGTATTCAATTGGCAAGCTCAGCCTGAATCCCATGTGATCCACCTTTTACTAATTAGTTTACCACATGGAACCTTGTCAAAGACTTTACTAAAGTCCAAGTCAACAATGTCTACTGCTCTGCCCTCATTAATCCTCTCGGTTCTTTCCTCAAAAAGCTTGCATCAAGTTTGTGAGACAGGATTTCACTCGCACAAAACCATGCTGACTATCCCTAATTATTCCTTGCTTCCCCACGTGCATATAAATTCTACCTTTCAAAATCACTTCCAACAACTCCCCATTGCCAAAGTCAGACTTGGGTCTATAGTTCTCTTCTTACATCCCTTCTTAAACAAAAGCACAACATTAGCCACTCTCCAGCCATCCTGCACTTCACCCATAGTTATAGATGATACAAATATTTCTGCAAGAGGCCCCACAATTTCCTTCTTAATATCCCACAACATCCTGGGATACAGTAGATCAGTTCCTGGAGGGTTATCCATCTTTATATTTTCTGGGGTCTCCAGCACTTCCTCTTCTGTAATGTGAACTGTTTTCAAAACATCAGTATTATTTCCCTGCATTCTCTAGCTTCCATTTCTTTCTTCACAGTAAAAATGGATGAGAAATATTCATTCAATATCTGTCCCATCTCCTGAGATTCAACACAAAGATGACCTCTTTGATCTTTAAGGGGCACAACTTTCTCTCATTGCTCTCTTG